TTCTGCTGGCAGGGGAGTTGCAACCTTGCGCTCATTCTCAATCCCATACTTCTCCCCCAGCTCCTTGATGAACTTCTCTTGGTGCAGCTTCAACCACCTGTGATCTGGATCCCTCTCCACGTGCATCCCGAGGTAGTACTTTACCTCCCCAAGGTTCTTGCACTTGAAGTTTTCCATCAGTTGCTGCTGCACTTTCTGGATCTCCTTCATGCTGCTGCTGAAGAGAAGAATGTCGTCCACATAGACCAGAAACAGCACCAGCTTCTCCCCCTCGCCCTTGAGAAAGAGGCTCTCATCACAGCTGCTGGTCCTGAATCCAATCTCCTCTAAAACAGCTGCCAACTTCTGGTACCAGCAGCGTGGCGCCTGCTTCAAGCCGTAGATGGACTTGTTGAGCTTGCACACCCTGCCCGTACCATCCTCATACCCAGGCGGCTGCGTCATGTACACATCCTCCTCTAAAATCCCATTCAGGAATGCCGTTGAAATATCCATCTGAATGATGAATTTTCCACTAACAGCTGCATCTGCCAACAAGACACGGAGGGTAGGGGGTTTGGCAGTGGGAGCAAAGATCTCGTTGAAGTCCTGCTTCTCCTTCTGCATAAACCCCTTCGCCACCAGCCTACTCTTGTAGATGGTGACCTGCCCCTTGTCATCGGTCTTGATCCTCAGCACCCACTTGCATTGTATCGCTTTCTTCCCATCAGGCAGCACCACCAGATCCCATGTCCTATTCTCCAGCAGACTCTGGTACTCAGCATCCCTAGAAGCCAGCCACTTGTCCCTATCTGGTCCAGCTAATGCCTCCTCCATGCTAGCTGGTTCCTCTGGTGCAGGGGCGATAAAACAGTAGGCAGGTTCATCCTCCTCATCCGGGTCATAGCCATGAGGTAGAATCAGCAATGCCTCTTCGGTCCCTAGCTGCTGCTCTGCTGCATCAGTTCCTGCAGTCAGCTTCTTAGTAGCCATACGGGTACGTCCTGGCCTGGAGACGGGTGTCTCCCATCCCTTCATAACGACACCCTTCGGCTTCTTAGTTTTTCCCTGCTGCTTCTCTCCTCCCTCGGGTCCAGCAGCTCCACTAGTGCTGCCGCCAGTTTCCACACCATTTTCTCCACCAGCAGATGCCTCCTGTACCTTCTCTCCATCACCATTTCCAGCAGCTGCCTCCTCTCCCTCCTCCCACACACTAGGAGTCAGGTCCAGCTGCATGGTGATCTGCTCCATCTGCTGGGACACCCTTGCCTCCGGCTGTTTCTCCCAGCTCCCATACATCATGCCCTCAATGAATTTCACATCCCTGCTGTCAAACAACACACCCTTGGATGGTTCCCACAGCAGCCATCCCTTGCTCTCAGCAGCCAGCCCCAAATGCACACACCAGATTGCACTCGCCCCCAACTTACTGCGGTAGGTCTTGGGGACGTGGGCGACTGCCATGCAACCGAACACCCTCAGCATGTCCACCGGCGGCTTCCTCCCAAGCCACCTCTCCAACGGCACCCACGAGTCATCCCCAACCTTGGTGAGCACCTTGTTCCTAGCGACAGTGGCGTGCCGGACAGCATGAGGCCACATAGAATTGCTCAGCCCAGATTCTATGAGCAGCGCCCTAGCTGTCTCCAGAATGGTCCGGTTTGCCCGTTCTGCTACACCATTGGACTGTGGGGTATAAGCCGTGGTCAGCTCTCTCTGGATGCCCTGCTTCTTGAGCCAGGCCGTCATTTCAGCTCCAAGGAACTCACCACCCCGGTCTGTCCTAATCCGCTTCACTACACACTCCGCCTGCTTCTCCACGAATGGCAGCCAATCGTCCCGTATCGTGGAGGCGGCGTGGTCCTTCTGCTTCAGCGGATACGCCCACATCAGCCTGCTCCAGTCATCCACAATTGTAAGAAAATACCGCTCCCCCTTGTGCCCTTGCACCGGCAGCGGCCCCACCAAGTCCATGTGGACCAGCTCCAAAGGCTTCTTGCTCCTGCCAGCCACACTATGGAAAGGGAAACGGGTGAACTTTGAAAGCAAACAGATTTCACAGTTGTCATCGGGTGGCTGTCCGTTCAGCTTCAGACCCTTAACGGCTCCATCTTTCTCCAGCTGCTTCAGCAAAGGCATTGCCACATGCCCTAAGCGCCGGTGTGCCGTTGCCCAATCTGTCTCCCCAGATCTGGCCGACACTTTCACACCAACCCCTCCAACGGCATTGCACTCCCCCTGGGATGCAGACCCCTCTCCAGCCTGCCCCCCACCATGCCACGCCAGGGCCGGCAGCTGCCACATAGATCTGTACACGTCCTTGCTCTCGTGCAGATCCCAAAGCACCCGATTGCCCAGCTTCCCCTTATAAGTGCGTGCCCCATCCGTATTCGTGTTCACCCCAGCCTTGCCAAGCTTACGGAGGGAGATAAGGTTGGCCTTCAGGTCGGGGACGAAGAGAACGTCGTGCAGCACCACCGGCTTGCCATCCGCTCCCTTAAACGCAGCTCGTCCCGCACCAGCCACCTTCAACATGTGTCCAGAGGCGGAGCACACTTCATTGATCGGTGCAGCTCGTACTTCGTCCAGCAGGTCCTTGCGCGGCGTCATCGTCCAAGCAGCGCCTGTGTCCAACACCCAATAGTCTAGGGGGTGCAGCTCTGCTCCAACTTTGGCAGAGGCGTCTCCTTGCTCCCCCTTGTCTCCTACATGGAAGAATTGGCCCGCGGTGCGCTCCTTCTTCTTCTCCGCACCGCCGTTGCCCTTCGGGTTGTTGTCGGACGAATCAGCGACCATGTTGGCGCCGTTTTTCTGGTTCCTCCGCGCGCCGCCATCCTGGTGACAATTCTGGGGGGTCCATCCATCGGGTTTCTTATAGCACAAAAACCAGGGGTGCCCTTCCTTCTCACAATACCAGCAACTCCCTTTCATTTTGCCACCAGCACCCGACTTGCCCCCACGTCCAGATTTCGAACCGCGACCCCAACCGGTACCTCCTTGTTGGTCGTTGGAGTCGTCGTCTTTCTTTGCACCGCGTCCAGCACCACCGAAGCCACGTCCTCTGCCACGTCGGCTCCCTTGCATCCCGTAGCCGCTGCTGCCGTCATCTCCACCCCTCAGTTGGCGGCGACGGAAGTCCTCCTCCAGAATCTTCGTCCGCACCCACTCGAGCGTCCACAAGCTCTGGTTCTGCGGCAGGCTCAATCCGCTCGTAAATTGAAGCCACGATTCTGGCAGCAGCGAGAGCATCTTCAAGCACTTGGTCTGCTCCGGGTAGGTGATTCCCGCGGTCGCCAACTTCGCGTAGAGGTCGCGCATCTTGTCCAGGACTGGTTGCACCGGCTCTCCCTCGCTCAGGCGCAACGCGGACAGCTCCCTCTCCAGCATCAACGTTGCGACAACGGAGGTCGGGGCGTGCAGCTCCTTCAACACAGTCCACGCCTTCGGACCGCATTCAACCTCCGGCAGCAGGTGCATGACGTGGTGACGCTGGTTCAGCTCCAAACTCTGCGACATCAAATAGTAGCCAGCCGAGGAGCGCTCGTCCCAATCTTCCTGCAGCGTGGGGTCACTCGGTCTAGGCTCCTCCCCAATCATTAGTTTCAGCAAACCGATCTGACGGAAATAAAGTTGCATTTTCCAGGCCCAATCATCATAGCCCTCACCATTGAACTTCTCGACGGTGAAATTCTTCAGCACCTCCTTGACAAGCGAGCCCTGGTTTGTTCGCGCTCCCCTTGGCGCTGAAAGACCAGAATCTTGGCTGCCGCTACGATCTTGGGCTGAAGATTCACCAGCTCCCGCCGAGGTGTTGCCCGCCATAGCTACCTATAACGAGGATCACTATAACGCAGCTCTGATACCAGCTTGTTGGTGTAAGGGCCTAATAAACTCAAGCTATTAGGACTTAATCAAACTTAAAACCTCTCCTCGGGGTCACCTCCAAGGGTCCCTGGGTGCCTGGTACAAGACCAGCCCCTATCCTCGGGTCCGAGTTTGTAGAGAGAGGGATCAAGAAGGACTTAGTCAAAACAGCAAGAGTACCTTGAACGTCGCGCAGCGTGCCGTGCAGACCGTCGATCGGATTAAGCTGAAAATTCGCTATATCGAAGCTCGCTCCAAGAGCTTTAAAATGAGCCAAGTTGCCTCGCGAAAAGTTCTGCCATTACTAAGTTATGGCTCGGACAGCGTTTGCCTAGCGTTGGAGTGCCAGCATACTAGCGTTGACTCGGGTAGCATTCCGCCGTCGAATAGCGCAGAAACGAAATTCCAGCGAGGAAGGAATTCGCTTGAATCAATTTGACTATATTCAGGTACAAACAGAGAAGGATTAAATAGTTCTAGCTAGCAAGGACCTTGGGAATCAACCTGGGAACAACCAGGGATGATCCCAAATAATTCCAAGCAACAGAACCAACCTGGCTGGACAAAATAGCAGGTGGTAGGTTGGTAAACAACCTCTGGTTCTGTTTTTCCAACCTGGGAAAACAACAACCAGGTTCAGGTTCTAAAAACAGAACCTGTTTTGTCTTTGCCCAACCAGCCAAATGCTGGTTCCGCTAGTTTCCCCTGGCCTTGTAGCATGCAGATACAGACAAACAACATCCAACCTTCACCTAAATTGTACCCCTATAGTGCCTTCCCTGCTACACTATAGTTAACCAAACAAAACAGTACAATTTCGAGTTGGATAGAACTGAATCTGCGCAATCAACTCAACCGAACTGCAAAGCTTCCATCTTGGGTTCCTTTGCGAGCTCGTCCTTTCTGCTTGCACTGTTCATAGCGGGTACAATGTTGTGCCGAAGCGCACATTGCGCGAGTACCTGCAAATGCATCAAGCGAAAAATGCGAAAGCAAACAAACACACGAACACACCATTCATACGCAAATGCATTCGCACACGCATACTCGTACAAACAGACGGCAGGATGTCGTGCAATGTGCATTTGCACCCAACACTTATATCAACCCTTGCCTGCCCTTGTCTACTCCATTCATTCTCTCGTTCAGTAGTTTACATGGTATCGAGCATAGTTAGATCCAATGGGCCCATCGCTTAGCACCCCGACCTAGTCCGTTAGCACCCCGTTGCCCGTAGTGCCCCATACCACGTAGCGCCCCGTCGCCCCTGCGCCCCGCCCGTTACACGCACATTTCAGCATTTTGCCGCGTGTTGCCCATAGTGCCCTAGTGCGCCCTGTGCCCTGTCTCCTAGCTTGCCCCATCAACTCGCAGCCCAGCGTGCCCCGTCACCCTGCAGCCCAGCGTGCCCTGTCTGTCCAAAGCGCCCGTTTAGGTGCCTCCCCATCGCCTCCCCGTCACCTCCCCGTCCCCTCTGTATCACCTTCCCGTCGCCTCACCGTCCCCTCCCCGTAACCTCCCCGTCGCCTCCCCGTCGCCTTCTCGTCATCTTCCTGTTGTCGCCCCGCCCTCTCCCCGTAACCTCCTCGTCGCCTCCCCGTCAACTCCCTGTCGCCTCCCCGTCCCCTCCCCGTAAACTCCTCATCACGTCCCTGTCGCCTCTCTGTCACCTTCTCGTCGCCTCCCCGTCCCCTCCTCGTCTCCTCCCCATCACCTCCTTGTCACATCCCCGTCCCCTCCCCGTCTCCTCCCCGTTGCCTCCCCGTCACCTTCTCGTCGACTCCCAGTCGCCTTCCTATTGCCTTCCCGTCGCCTCCCCGTCCCCTCCCCATAACCTCTCCGTCGCCTCCTCGGTCCGCCACCCCCTGTACGTCACCCACGCCCAGTCCGCTACCCGCACCCATTACACCACCCGCACCCTACACTCAGTCTGCCAACCGCACCCCGCACCTAGTCCGCCACCCAGCACCCCGTACGCTACCTGCACTCCGCAACCCTAAGGCTCTCCGCACCCAGCAAAACAACCGCCAGGCCCCCAGCTAGAAGGCCCCGAGGCCCCTAGCTAGAAGGCCCCAAGGCCCCCAACTAGAAGGCCCCAAGGCCCCCAACTAGAAGGCCCCGAGCCCTCCCCCCCCCAACCCCCAACTAGAAGGCCTCGCGACCCCCAATTAGAAGGCCCCACTGGCCCCTAGCTAGAAGGCCCCACAACCCCCAGCTAGAAGGCCGCACGGCCCCTAGCTAAAAGGCCCCACGGTGTTATGTGATGCTGTCATTCGCATTCACGTCTGTCTGCCTCCCATCTACCTTGCATGCGTGGTGTGCGCATGTGTAAGAATTGCGTTTGGTGTGGTTTGGATTTTCTGAGAGTATGTGAATGTTTTCTTGTCTGAGCAGATATTTGAAATGACTTCTCTGCTCAAGAGCTTTCCGACGAACCAAGAATCGTCGCGATCGGAGCACGGATGAGAAAGTTACGAACGTTCGAAGTTCGTATGCCTTTCACATTTGATTGCGGTGACTTTGGGAATTTGTGGAGTGGCTCAATATGGGGTATAGACTTTTGAGGGTTGTGAAATTCGTCACTTCTACTGTAGATGATGCCAAGTGGTTGGGAGAAATTAAACCTAGTTGGGAGAAACTAAACCAGGTTGGCAAGTGTGGCCAAGTTGGAGTGAGGTGGATTTGGGAGGTTGGGAAAATGACAAGGGTGAAGGCTGGGTTCCTATAGAGAGGGAATCGTGTAAGCATATGGGGTTTCCTTGGTTGGGGACTCATTAGAGACCTTCCCTCTCGTCCTCCTCTTCCCTCCTACCTAGTTTATTGCTACTCTAACTTTCTTGTGTGGTACTTGTGAGAAGAATTGTGATTGAGTTAATATTCAGCTCCAACATAACCCCCTAGTGCGCCGAAATTCATAACTCGAGTTATACTCCATCTTTTGATGCGATTTGAATTGGGAAAGATAGCCATGGTAATGGGCTACAACATAGTTGAGTTTGCAAAAATACTAATGGTGTCTTTCTTGTGAAGTCGACATTTCTGTCCGGAGTTATAGTCCAACGATTTTGAGATATTTCGGCCCTTAAACGTTCTAGACTCCGTCCTTTATTTCTATCACGTGGTCTCAGAGCAATTGAGGACGTTGTGAAGAGTCCACTAAGGTGTGAAGACCCTCTTAGACCCACCATGGCCTGTGGGCGTGCCTAAGTGGAGTTCTGGAGGTTGCATGTGACTTCCGCGAAGGGGAAACTCTGCCGAAATTTCGTTGGCGCCGACACTTGTCGAAATATTGTGGGACTTCGTTGTGTGTTACGATATGGAATAGTTGAATAAACATTCCTAAGTAACGAATCCTTAACGCAAAGATGACTGCAGCGAGGACGGAAGACCAAGCGACAAGGCAGTTATCGAAGACAGTTACAAGCAGGAAGAATTTGGAATGGAAAGAGCAGGAAAACTTGAAACGGTTACCGGACCGCATACGGTCCTCGAATCGCACGGTTGTAAACCTGCATCTAGATTAGCCCTAAAGGAAATGTACCCCCTCAGAGTACATGGCTAGCTAGGACCTTTCGTATTCCACTGTATTCCTATATAAACCCTTGTACCGCATTGTATTAGTCACTTCTGTCGAGATTCAAATCTCCCTCTCCTGGCAGAGTCCGTACCCGACATTACCTAGCAATCTTCCGCTGCTACACTCCTGTGCGATCAACCTGAGACGATCCTATAAGACAGTTCAAATTGTATCATGGTATGAGAGCCACTCAGGATTCTTCGCACCTCCACCTCTGATTCAAATTAGAATTCAAGGTGGCGTCCGGTACGCGCTCCCGCCGAAACATGGCTGGAGGATCTGGCAGAAAAGCGGCTAACACTGCCGAACGTCCCGCCAACCCGACTGCAAACTCCGCGAGAACCACCACCGTGAGCAATGCGCTTCTGGAGCAACTCATCCAGTGAATCACCACGCTGGAATCTGGAATTCAACAATTGAAGAATGACAATCCCGGAACCACGCAACAACCCGAGCAACCGGCTGCTCCAACCAAGGAAACGAGCCCAGCCAAGGAAACGAGCCAAACCGCCTTTGACCTTGAGTCAAACTCCGCTACACCAACCGCTCCTTGTCCAAGTGACAAAGCCGTGCTCGCAACTCCGAACAAGTTTCTGACTATCTCCAAAATTTGCACCAGCACCATGTTTAGCGGGCGACATTTCCACACCTGGAGTTTTGAGCTCGAACTACTTCTCCAAAACGCGCAGATCTTCTGCTACTTTGACGGAAGCTACGCTGGCCCCACCAGCGACACCGACGACGCGAAAGCTCAGTATTACAACGAGTCGCTCATGGCATATAGCGTCCTTCTTCGCAACTTGGCGCCAGCCGAACAACTCGGCATACGCCTCTACAAAACGTACCCAGCTCCCGCCATGGCCGCCTGGAGCTGCTTCACCAAAACCTACCAACCTAAGGACTCCGTATCATCCAGCCGCCTGCTCCATGAACTCATGGAGGTCAAAATGGCGCCTGGCAAAAAGGCAAACACTTACATCAATCGCTGCAGCAGCGTCGGCGATCAACTTCTAAAGCTCGGAAACACGATCTCCAAAGGCATGTTTGTCACCATCGTACTTCGAGGGCTGGGCCCACATTGGAATCCGTGCAAGGCCCTGCTTCACCAACAGGGCATAATCTCTGAGGCGCACCTCTGCGCCACTCTGCTGCACGAAAAGCGAGATAAGGATTTTAATCAAGAAAAAGGGACGCGCCGTGAGCAGATCGCCTTCTACTCCAATCGCGACCAACGGAGGAATCGCGATACACGGCCACCGAACGCAAGAACTGCAAAATCTTCAGTCACTCCACCGAACGCTTCCGATCCGGACCACACAACGACTCCGCGCCGCGCAACAACTCTGCGTATGGCCACTCGCGCCAGGCCAACCAACCGCCCTCAAACCAACGGTCCGCCCCCCGCCAGTCAACACAACCAGTCTCACAGCGGCCAACACAAAACAGCACCGTTCGCCACGTCATGGGAAACATGGCAATGCGCGTCCGTTGCCGCACTCGGCGCACAAATCGGAGACACCTCCGACACGTCTCTCCTCCTTCGCCTAGGCAAGAAGTCTTGTTGACCGGCGACAACAACCCATTCACATGGGACGAAGAGTTCGTCTCTAACGAACATGAGCAAGACTGGTTCCTGCCGAAGCCGCTGCTCGAGTCGCCGCCCCACGACGAGGATTTTCTCAACTCACCGTCAATCACAAACTACTACTTTGGCCACAACATTGACACTCGTCCCCTCGACAACTACTGCGCTGCTGGCGACAGACGAATCCCGTTTCGCAACACCCCGAACATCGCGCTCTCGGCTCAACGTTGCGGAAACTGCCACAACACATGGTTCCTCGACAGCTGTTGCGAACAACACATGGTCGGATCCAAGCGCTACATCTCCAACACATACCCCATTCCGCAACCAACCATCGTCACAATAGCCAACAACCGGCAGCTCCAAGCTCGAGCGTGCGGCATCGTCTTCCTCAAAGCGCGTGACAGCAACATCCATAGCACACTCAATGATGTCCTTATCGTGCGGGACCTGCAGTTCAATCTTCTCTCCTACAATCAACTCGTTCAAAGCGGAGTCCTCATGACAACTGACCCAGAGACACACGACATTCTCATGCACTGGAAAGACTACAGCACACCAAACAGGTCACCGCGATACATCGGCAAAGCCCACTCCGAAGACGGCGTCTACATCCTCGACTTCGACATCCCAGATTGCAGCGCTGACTCATGAGTTCTCATCGATCTCATACCTGAGGACGTTGTACGATCACACAAACCGACTCACCCTGACGGCCGCCCCTGGATCAAGCAGCACGCTCACCCATGGGAAATTGACCTTCACGCCCCTGGACCTGACGGCCTCTGCCAAAACTGCCGCACACCTACTGCCTCAACAACAGAAGACAGAGCGCACAGGCCACAGTCATTCACGCGAGAAAACCCCCCGGCATCCATCGGAGGGAAAGCACCGGCTGACGAAGGCGAATCATCCGCTGCAGCAGCACGACGCCTCTCAACCACAGCAGCCTACGCAGCCACCGCCACTGAGGAGCCCTTTGAGCCTGAGGCACTCGCACCAGCCATTCAGCCGGCTGGCTTGACTACCATTGAAGAAGCCGAATGGCAAACCCCTCACCCAACTGGCATGAGGGATGGAGAGCTAGCTACAACACTTACCATCTTCCAACCATGCAAGGCTCGGACTGACCCCACAGTCCACGATCGCCTCGATCTCCTCACATGCTACACCGGCCCTGGCGCGTTTGATGCAGATAATAACCCCCTCCCTCTAACCTGGGAGACATATCACGTGACTTACCACTGGTCCCAATGCACCATGACCGCTGAGGAGTTCCAATGCCACGAAGAAGAAGAGAGCCGACACCGCACGGACAAAGAAGCGAAAGCAGCAGAAGCAGTAGCAGCTGGGGGTTGGGGAAGCGGAACTGGCGAAGCTGGATGGGGAGGCACAGCACCTAACTGGGGGACACCACCACTGGAGGAGGACGACCTGATTGAAGCAGAAAAAGAGCGCGCCGAGGCAGAAGCAGCCGCAGAAGCCGCTGGCCCTTACGGCCTCCCACTCCCTTTTGACATCCCCCCCACAGGCATTTCACCCGCTAGTGCCTCCTGGGCTTCTTCCACAGACTCTCGCCCTCCCACCAACCGCGACACTATCTTACGTTACCACACCTACCCCCGAAGCCCGCTTCCTACTGAGTCCACGCCAATCGGCCCAACTGACTCACCCCAACCCAGTCCCACTGCCACGCACACTTTACCACCTCATCACACGCCACAACCCAACCTCCCGAAAGAAACAACAGATACAAACGACACCCCACTCACTGGCACCACCACAGACACAACTTTCCACACTGCTCGTGATATCATCCTCGCACTTGGACTCTCTATCTCACCACAACCCATCCCAGACCCATCCCCGACAAGCACAGCCGAACTTATGGCCTTTTACGCTTGGTCACCCGCCATTCGCGCCCAACCTGACCTCTAGCACAAACGCCTCGGTCATCCCTCCCAGGAAGTTCTCAACAACTGCATTCGTGCGCAAATCTTCCTTCCCGGAACCCTGCTCTGCCCGGTCGGAACACCTGTTCCCGTCACCACCACTCGTTGCACCGACTGCACCATCTGCCCTGAAGCCGTCCTAACTCACCAGCCCTTCAAGCTCCTTGAGCCCGGCACAAACCACTACGACAAACTTCAGAAGGTCTACAGTGACTTCCTCGTTCTCACCCAGATTGGCCTCAACGGCGAAGAATACACCCTCACCTTCGTCAACGCCCACTCTCGCTTCGTTTGGGTGGCCAACGTTTCTCACAGGAGCAAGGCATTTGAAATCTTCAAGGTCTGGCACGCCAATGCAGAGACTCAGTCCGGCTGCACCCTCAAACTCTTGCAAACCGACTGTGCCGCGGAATTCAAAAGCAAGAAGCTCGCGGCATACATCCAGGAAAAGGGAATCGTCCATACGCTCTCCCTCCCATACGCACATCCCCAGCAAGGCGTCGCGGAACGCACCAACCGCATACTCATGACCAAGGTTCGCGCCCTAGTGCAGTAGAGCAACATTAACGCAAAATATTGGCCCTACGACATGCACCACGCCATCCGTCTTCACAACCTGCTCTGCCAACACTGACAATCTCTCCCCGCACCTCAAGTTCACTGGCAAACAGGGCGACGTATCAATGCTCCACGTCTTGGGGTGCATGGTTCAGTATCGGCCAGCTGCGGCGACCACAGGGAAGTTTGAACGTCGCGCGCTGGGGCGTACACCTTTGCATCAGCCTCGAACACAATGCCTGGAACATCCTCGATCACGATACCTCACGGGTGGTCGTGGCGCGCGACGTCATCTTCTACGAAGAGCTCACAGTTCACAAGTTCCAGAGCGACTGCCATGCTGACCACACCAGAGGAGAACACAACATCGCGGATTACGATCGATCGCTGCGCAGCTTCGCCACACCTGATGACGAAGAAGCAGCAGCGCTCGCGGAACACGACCCGACGGATCCACATCCCGGTCCATGGAGTGAAGATGACGAAGACGAGGACAGTGCTCCCCTCGACTCCTCGCGGGACTCTCTTCTCAGCCCGACCCCCTCCAGCGGCCACGACTCGGACGATGACGTGGTAGAAGTCACCAGCGATCAGCGGCACAGCCCAGGCCTCTCCGGTCTCCACAACCTCGGCCTCCACACTGTCGTTTCCCGCCCGCCAAAGGCCGTTGAATCCAAAACCCCGCGCCAAGCCCTCATTGGACCATCCGCTAAAGAATGGCGCGCTGCGATGGATGCCGAAGTCGCTGCACTCGAGGCCCGCGACACATGGGTTCTCGCCGACCGCGCAACACTGAAGGGGGGACGCGTCCTCTCGGGCAAATGGGTCTTCCACGTCAAAACTGCCGCTGATGGCACAATCGACCGCTTCAAAGCACGTTGGGTCGTACGGGGCTGCGATCAGCGCCATGGCGTCGATTTCGACCAGACCTTCGCACCCGTCAGCCGTCGGACTTCCGTCCGCATCCTCCTCGCCATCGCCACCGCTAACCATCTCCCCCTCCATCAGATTGACGTTAGAAACGCCTTCTTCTACGCACCCGTGGATGCCCTCATCTTCGTCGAGCAACCTCACACATACGGCGACGGCGACGATCGCGTGTTTCAACTCCGAAAATCACTCTACGGCATCAAGCAAGCACCACGACTCTGGCAGCAGCATCTTCATCAAATTCTCCTTGGCATTGGCTTCACCCAGCTGCCACACAATCCCGGCATGTACCGCCTCCATTATCGTCGCGATTACATTCTTCTCACGGCGTACGTGGATGATCTGCTCTACACGGGCACCAGCAACGACCTCCTCGCACAGTTTGAGAAAAACCTCAGCAACCGCGTCGAAATCACCAGTAACAACACGGTGACCCAATTCTTGGGTCTCAACATCTCCTATGCTGCCGACGCCATCCATCTCTCAGCAGCAAAATACGCCGAAGCTCTCTCCGCCAAATTCAACATCAAGCCAGCCAACCTTTCCACTCCTTATCGCACCCCAGCAACCCATACCACCATCCTCATCACCCCGCTCAACCCTTCCGAAAACCAGCTATACCAGCAGCAACTCGGCTTTCTTCTCTTCGCCGCTGTTACGTGCAGGCCTGACTTGTCCTACATCTCAAGCCAACTCACTCAGTATGACAAGCGGCCTGAAGCGGAGCATATGCTGGATATACACCGTGCCCTGCAATACTTCATCTCCACACCGCACATTGGCCTCACCTACTCCACCCTCACGACTCGCTCATTCAGCCTCGTTGGATACGTGGACGCAGATCACGCCGCCGACCCTGCAAATCGACGGTCCCGAACCGGCTTCCTCTTCCGCCTCGAGCCCACCGGTCCCATTTCCTGGAATTCCGAGAAGCAAGAAATGGTGGCGCTCTCCTCTGCTGAAGCCGAATTCATCGCTGCCACATCAGCCGATCGCGAAGGACTCTACCTCCAGGAGTTACTCCATGAGGCAAAAATTGTGACGTTCGCGAGCTTCAAACTTCACTGCGACAACCAAAGTGCAATCAAAATTGCGAACAAGCCTGGCTTCGTCAACCGCACCAAGCACATCGCACTCCGCTACTTCTTCGTCAAAGACGAAGTTGACAAAGGCAAAGTCATCTTGACTTACTGCCCCACTGGTGACATGGCAGCCGATTTTCTCACCAAGTATCACCACTGCGGAAACATCTGCGGCATAACCAAGCGTCAAGACTTCGCCACCACAGGAATGAAGGGAAGTGTTACGATATGGAATAGTTGAATAAACATTCATAAGTAACGAATCATTAACGCGAAGATGACTACAGCGAGGACGGAAGACCAAGCGACAAGATTGTTATCGCAGACAGTTACAAGCAAGAAGAATTCGGAATGAAAAGAGCGGGAAAACTTCAAGCGGTTATCGGACCGCGTACGGTCCTCGAATCGCACGGTTGTAAACCTGCATCTAGATTAGCCCTAATGGGGAATGTACCCCCTCAGAGTACATGGCTAGCTAGGACCTTTCGTATTCCACTGTATTCCTATATAAACCCTTGTACCGCATTGTATTAGTCACTTCTGTCGAGATTCAAATCTCCCTCTCCTGACAGAGTCCATACCCGACATTACCTAGCAATCTTCCGCTGCTACACTCCTGTGCGATCAACCTGAGACGATCCTATAAGACGGTTCAGATTGAATCAGTGTGGACAGAAAAAGGGGGGAGCTGAAATCTGAAATTGGGTGAAGAGAAGATGAGTCAAGGGAGTGGAGACATAGCTGAGAAGAGGAATGAGCCGCCACCATCCAAGATCGAGGCGTTGGATGGCTCCAACAGGAATGGAGTGGGCGGATGAGTAGTGCCTTTAAGCTCTACAAGCTGCTGAAACTTGTGATGGGTGAAGAGAAGATGCCGGAGGAAGGCGATGCCCGCGATTGGTGGATTGAGAAGAGTGCGGTACTGTACGACCTAATCCTACAATCAGTCAACAACGACATGTTCCAGCATATCAAGGATTTGGTGGAGCTGGATGATTCTGGACCGAAGGCGTGGAAGCTGCTACGCGACGTGGTTCAGCCCAACACGCAGCTGATGGTGATCATGTTCGAGAAGGAGCTGGCTGCCCTCTCCATGCGACCGGGAGATGATGTGAAGCCGGTCGTGGACAAGATCAAGGACACCTATGCGAGGATGGCAGCGGCGGGCAGCAAAGTGTCGGAGATGCAGCAGTGCACCAAGATCATCTCGGTGCTCGACTGTAAGGATCTGGTTCAGAGAAGATGATTCTATTGAATGATTCACCTGGGTACAAGGCGAGGCTATATATAGGCTCGACACAAAGGCAGTAACCCGGGTGTTACTAGAAGGTTCCGCGGGTCGCGAAGCGTCCCGAACGGGTCCTTCCCGAATTCGGTAGAAGGCAATTCGGTGGCAACCGAAAAGCCTAGAATTCGGTGCACTCAACCTAGTTCGGTGCCTAAAACTATAATAATATAGTTTTAGCAACGAACCTAGGAAATCAAGCAAAAGCATGCAAGATAAAATAAAGCTAAGCTAGTAATAACATAATAAAGTCCAGGCAAGCTAGCAAAGCCAGCATAAGCCGTCGTACTCTCACATCGACAATACGTGGGACAACCTTATCCCTACCCTCAACACTCAGCAGGACCAGTGGGACGCCTGAGTGGCTACAGCAGCAGATTCTACAGGAGGATTTCCGTAGGCGCCACGCGGGAGGCGGTGCTGCCAACAAGACTGCTGAGGGGTATGGAGCTGCAGGAGGCAGCAGAGGAAGAGGGGGTGGGAGAGGCCGAGGCCGTGGGAGAGGCTTTGGCAGAGGGAGAGGCCGAGGTGACTACAATGAAGGGCATGGGAGCTCTGGTGGCAGGGGGAGCACCCGAATGGAGGGTGCATGCTGGTACTGCAAGAAGGCTGGACACCCATGGTTCAAGTGTTTCAGCCGGCCTGAAGGATGGGCGCCCCCAGGCATGAAGCCGCCAAGTGGTGAACGCGCACAAGGTGGCGCTGTGCAAGGTTCAGGTGCACAAGGTGATGGTGGACACGGTAAAGCCTCCCCAGGGATCTTTCCTATGGTTGAAGATGTGAATGGGAGTGAGGGTGATGTGGGTTCAGTTGGGAAGGTTGTGATGCACCCCCTCACTCACTGGGTGATAGATTCAGGTTGCACAAGTCACATGACCCCACGGGCAGATTTGCTTGATGAGGTAAAGCCCCCAGAGAAGATCAAGTTTGTGGCTGCCGCTTCAGGTGCTTTGCTCCCTGTGATTGGTGTTGGGAATGCCAAGGTTATGGGAGCCAATGGGGAGCTTGTGGGGCTTGGGAACGTGTTGTTGCTTGAAGGTTTGTCTGCTAATCTTCTTTCTGTGCGCCGGCTGCAGAAGAGCAAGGCCAAAGTGACATTTGGCCCAACCAGCTGCCATGCGAAGCTTGGGAAGCTGTTGTTGTGGGATCTGGAGGAGAAGAGCAGTTGCATCAAGGACCTGTGGCAGCTGCCCATCATTCCTTGGAACGGGAAACCTCCATCAACGGCAGCGGCAGCAGCAACGGCAAAGGCAACTGCAGGAGGAGAGCAGACTGCACCAACCGATGGGGCCCTGGATGCAGTCAAGAAGGTGCAACAGCCTCAGCAGGCACATGGTGAGGTGCTTGCAGGTGCGGATGCGACAGCTGCATGGGCAAAGGCTTCATCTGGGAGTGGTGAGGCCGATTGGGAGACGTGGCACGAGAGGCTGTGTCACATCAACATCCCTATGCTGCAGAAGTTAGTGAAGGATGGGAGTTTAAAGGGGTTGGAGGTGAAGGGGGGAGCGAAGGAGATTGGGAGCTGCCCTACATGCCTTGAAATGAATTTCACTAAGTTTCCCTTCAGCAGCAGCAAGGGGACCAGCCAAGGCTCCACTTGCACTTGTGCACATGGATGTGGTGGGCCCTACGAGGGCCCCTACTTTTTCTCTCGCGAAGCCGCTACTTCTTGACCATTGTGGACGACCACACGCGTGCGGTGTGGGTGTACCCTCTCAAGACTAAGGGGGAGGTTGCAACGGCTGTTCTTAAGGAGTGGATGCCGAGAGCTCAAAGGGAGAGCGGACACAAGGTGAAGGTGATCCGCACCGACAATGGGGGAGAGTTCATTGGCGCTGATTTTGAGGCGGTGCTGAAGAAGAAAGGGATCCAGCATCAGCTCACAGTGCCCTACAACCCTCAGCAGAACGGCGTGGCTGAGCGGTTCAACTAGACCCTGCAAGAAGGTGCTCGCACTCTCCTTGGGCGTGCAGGGCTGCCGGATCCGTTTTGGGTGACTGCACTGAGGCAGGTCGCTCTTGTGAAGAACAGGGTGCTAACGACTGTGGGGGACAAGCAGTGGGTCCCCTACACCAAGTGGTATGGGAGTGCACCTGCAGTCAACATGCTGAGAGCCTACGGCTGCATGGTGGTGTTTCATGTGCCGAAGGAGAAGAGGGGAAAGCTGGAAGCTTCTGGAAGATGGGGTGTGCACTTGAGAATTGCCAAGGATCATAAAGGATGGCTGCTATGGGACTTGACCAGCCAGCAGCTGACTGTGTCAAGGGATGTGAAGTTCCTTGAGTCCCTGTACACCACTGATCGTTGAGGCCAATGAGGTGCAGTGGCCTTCAAGGCACGTGGAGGTTTCTGTCTCTGAGGAGGAGATCTCTGGGGTGACTGAGGATGGGGGAGCAACTGCAACAGTAGCAGCAGCAGCCGCTGCAACAGCAGCAGCAGCAGCAGCAGCAACAGCAGCAGCAGCAGTAGTAGCAGCAGCAGCAGCAACGTGCTCCACCACGTGCCCCACGCCCGGCTGAGCGTCGTAGGAGGGATGTGCGCCCACTTGTCAGGCTGAGCTATGATCGCCGTGCTACACGAAATGTGGAGCAGGCTGGGAGTATGGCACTACTATGTGATGAGGATGAGATAGCGCACTGCTATTGGGCAGCCGTCCCTGAGCCCAAGACGCTTACCGAGGCACTAAGCGGGCCCGATGCTGAAAAGTCGAAGCAAAGTGTGAACGAGGAGTACGACTCCCTACTGGAAAATGAGACTTGGGAACTTTGTGAGCTGCCTCCTGGGAAGAAGGCAATCTCATTGAAGCTGATCTTCAGGCACAAGTACGGACCTGATGGACAGCTAACCCGTCACAATTCAAGGCTTGTGGCTAAGGGGTTTCAGCAGACAAAGGGCAAGGACTTCGACGAGATCTTTGCTCCTATGAGGAAAGGGACTACACTGAGGGTGATGTTTGGGAATGGCTGCAAATCGTGGATGGAGGATCAAGCAGATGAACATTACAACTGCGTTCCTCAATGGGATCATTCTGGAGGAGCTGTACATGCTGCAGCCTGAGGGGTTGGATGATGGGAGTGGCATGTGTGCACGCTGAAGAAGGCCATCTAAGGCTTGAAGCAGGCTCCTCGTGCATGGTACCACAAGCTGGAGGAGACACTGCTGGCTCGAGGGTTCAAGAAGAGTGAATGTGACCACAGTCTGCTCCTGCTGCAAGAGGAGGAGAGTTCCTCATGCTCCTAGTGTATGTGGACGACATCCTTCTCTTTTCTGAGTCATCTGCTATGATTAATCATGTGGAGGAGATGCTGGAAATGCAGTTCAAGTGTTTTACGATGGGAGATGTGAAGTACTACCTTGGGATGCATGTGGAGAGGGACCTTGACAAGGGAGTGTTGAGGTTGAACCAGAGGAAGTACTGTGATGGGCTGGCCGAGAAGTATGGGCTGCAAGATGGAGGGAAGCCAGCAACCCCTACCTTCAGGGTTCACTGTGGAGCCATGTGCTGATGAGGAGGTGGTGGGTGAGAGTGACAGGAAGCTGTTTCATTCCATGGTGGGGGCACTCAACTATGCGGCTAACCACACACAACCCGATATTGCCTTTGCAACATCCAGGCTTGCGAGTGTGGTCTTACGCCCCAGTCATGAGCAGCTGGAAGCGGCCAAGAGGTTGGTCCACTATGTGAGCGTTACAACATCTGTGGGTTTGGAGTATAGTGTTGTGAGGCAAAGGCAGCAGCTGGGTGCTGTTGATTTGGGCAAGGGGGAGATGCTCTTGACTTGCTACACCGACGCCAGCTTCAACTCTGTGAAGGCAGATGGCACCAGCATTGGAGGCTATGTGTGCCTGTTTGGAGGTGGTGCAGTGAGCTGGCACAGCAAGAAGCAGAATAAGGTGGGGCCGTCCTCGTGTGAGACAGGGTACATGGCCCTTCATCATGGGGCCAAGGAGGTGGTGTCGCCGAGGGGTTTGTTGGAGGAGATCGGAGGGTGCCAGAAGGAGCCGAGTGTGATTTTCTGTGACAATGAGTCAGCTGTGAAGCTTGCCAAGAACGCTTGCCTTCATGGGCTAACAAAGCACATTAGGCCTAAGCGGCGTTGGGTGAGGAGGCTACTGGACAAGGAGGTGCGACTCGAGGTGGTGAAGACCCAGCAGCACACGGCTGACATTCTCACCAAGCGCCTGGCTGAATCTGAGCATTGGAAGGGCATGAAGCTTGCTGGGATGAGTGTGCATGTTTGAGCTATGGTATGTGGGATGGTGGTTGGCAGCCAGAGGGGGAGTTTGTTATGTGATGCTATCATTCGCATTCACGTCTGTCTGCCTCCCATCTGATCTTTCTACCTTGCATGCGTGATGTGCGCATGCGTAAGAATTGTGTTTGGTGTGGCTTGGATTTTCTGAGAGTGTGTGCAGGTTTTTTTGTCTGAGCAGATATGTGAAATGATTTCTCTGCTCAAGAGCTTTCCGACGAACCAAGAATCGTCGCAATCGGAGCACGGATGAGAAAGTTACGAACGTTCGAGTTCGTATGCCTTTCACATTTGATTGCGGCGACTTTGGGAATTTGTGGAGTGACTCAATATGGGGTATAGACTTTTGGGGGTTGGGAAATTCGTCACTTCTACTGTAGATGATGCCAAGTGGTTGGGAGAAACCAAACCAGGTTGGCAAGTGTGGCCAAGTTGGAGTGAGGTGGATTTGGGAGGTTGGGAAAATGACAAGGCTGAAGGTCGGGTTCCTATAGAGAGGGAATCTTGTGAGCATATGGGGTTTCCTTGGTTGAGGACTCCTTGGGGACTTTCCCTCTCGTCTTCCTCTTCCCTCCTACCTAGTTTATTGCTACTCTAACTTTCGTGTGTGGTACTTGTGAGAAAAAATGTGATTGAGTTCATATTCAGCTCTAGCATACCCCCTAGTCCGCCGAAATTCATAACTCGAGTTATACTCCATCTTTTGATACGATTCAAATTGGGAAAGATAGCCACGGTCAAGAGCTACATCATAGAAGTTTGCAAAAAAAAAATAACGGTGCGGTTTTAGTCAACGGCGTTTCTTGTGAAGTCGACATTTCTGTCCAGAGTTATAGTCCAACGATTTTGAGATTTTTCGGCCCCTAAACATTCTAGACTCCGTCCTTTATTTCTATCACACGGCTCCCCAAGTAGAAGGCCCCACCCAGCACCTCGATTGCACCTGACCGCTTCTTGCCGCGTCCCACCGTACCCGGCCGCACCTGACTACTACTAGCAGCTCCCCATAACGCTCGGCCATTTCTAGCTCCAGCCATGGTGTCCGTTGGAGATCTGCATCAGCAGGGCCATCCGCAGCGACAGCAGCTACTGCACTCTCAGCAGTGGGGACTCGTGGGTCCTAGGAGCACCGACCCAAGCAGCGGCTTAGACAGTAGTGGGCGCGACGTCGGTCCCTGCGGGTACCGGATCCTAACTTGCCCTGGTGCTGACACTACCTGCCGACGTCCTAACCGCTCCACGCTCCACTGCTACCGTCGCCTCGACGACCTTCACCGTGAGCGTATTGGACCTGACGTGATTCCACTGCACTGGCCTTCTTTTTTTTGCCACTAGACTGCTGTACCTACTAAGTCGCACCTGCCTCGGCTGCACAAGTTGGGACTTGGGTTTCCAGTCTTGGTGTATCTGTAGTTTCTAGCCTAGGTGCCTCTTTGGATCCTTGTGTGGGTGCTGCCGCTACCGCTAGCCTAGTACCAGCCTTTGTCATCGGCACGGCTACGACTTCAGCGACTTTGCCTCTTTCCTTCACCCTATACTCTGAGGCGTCCAGTTGTTACTTTCAAGACTGCACTGAAATTTTGCCGCTGCACACTCCAGTCACTATCGCCTTAGCTGACCCCTTAGTGGGACCTATAGTTGTCAATAGCACCACCACTCTCCCGTCTCCGGCAGCCCCCTCTGGGGTCCTCACAACACATTGTAACTCAGCGCGGCAATGATTTGCACTCCTTGAACTTCTCCACAGTGTTCCTTCATGGGAGCTTGCATGAGCAGATTTGGCTGAACCGTTCGCCTGGCTTCACTCGCACTTTCTCTGCTTGGACCCAGTGGCAGGTGCGTCGACTAGTCTATGGCCTGCGCCAGGCTCCCCGCTGTTGGTGTAAGGGCCTAATAAACTCAAGCTATTAGGACTTAACCAAACTTAAAACCTCTCCTCGGGGTCACCTCCAAGGGTCCCTGGGTGCCTGGTACAAGACCAGCCCCTATCCTCGGGTCCGAGTTTGTAGAGAGAGGGATCAAGAAGGACTTAGTCAAAACAGCAAGAGTACCTTGAACGTCGCGCAGCGTGCCGTGCAGACCGTCGGTCGGATTAAGCTGAGAATTCGCTATATCGAAGCTCGCTCCAACAGCTTTAAAATGAGCCAAGTTGCCTCGCGAAAAGTTCTGCCATTACTAAGTTATGGCTCGGACAGCGTTTGCCTAGCGTTGGAGTGCTAGCATACTAGCGTTGACTCGGGTAGCATTCCGCCGTCGAATAGCGCAGAAACGAAATTCCAGCGAGGAAGGAATTCGCTTGAATCAATTTGACTATATTCAGGTACAAACAGAGAAGGATTAAATACTTCTAGCTAGCAAGGATCTTGGGAATCAACCTGGGAACAACCAGGGGTGATCCCAAATAATTCCAAGCAACAGAACCAACCTGGCTGGACAAAATAGCAGGTGGTAGGTTGGTAAACAACCTCTGGTTCTGTTTTTCCAACCTGGGAAAACAACAACCAGGTTCAGGTTCTAAAAACAGAACCTGTTTTGTCTTTGCCCAACCAGCCAAATGCCGGTTCCGCTGGTTTCCCCTGGCCTTGTAGCATGCAGATACAGACAAACAACATCCAACCTTCACCTAAATTGTACTCCTATAGTGCCTTCCCTGCTACACTATAGTTAACCAAACAAAACA